TCTTGATCATCTTTGCAAAGGTGTACTATAGAAAAGAAAATTTTGAAAATTTGCTCAAGAACACACTTATGAAACTTTCAAAATTGTGCAAACATCTTTTAGTCATACAAACATTCGTAAGTTCTGATCAATGCCCATTCGCTAAAAGCTCTTTATAAGCTTACATTTAAATGATTAGATGTTTATTGTCTACCATCTTCTTTAGCAATGATGCGCTTGAACGCTGTGAGTATTACTCACATATCAATAGCATCCGGAAGAACTAATGCCGCTAACTCGTGAAGTAAAGATGTGTATCTTTCTGCCTCATTGCTTACCTCTATAATTTGTATGGAGGCTGTATCTCACAGCAGTTTAACTTAAATTTCACCGACTTTCCTTCCATTGCTGCGTAACAGTGACGGTGCCACAGGGTTAGACTGGTTGCGATTTTCTAAATCTATATATGTAACGTACTTCCAATAAATTCCTCGTCTTGTTTGATAATGCTGTCTACTTGCGCACTGTAATGCCGTACATTACCAAAAACTTACATAAATCATCGCTAATTTTATGAGATGGGCTTCTTTATTTGCTTCCTATAGTACATTAGTTTTGATTACACCAATGCCTTGCACATCAAGAAGTAGTGCAGTTCAGCGTAAAAAGCGACGATCGTCAATGCAAATGCAAACATTCGGCTAAGATGGTTTTTCATGAATTAAGTGCGAATTTTGAGAAATCTTGTGTCACAAAAAAAGTCTTTCGCAAGTTGATAAAAAACGTTTCTGTGATGCTCAAATTGTATTATACATAGATGACTTACAATACCACTCTTACCTTAGAGTTTAGCTAACTTTGTGCACTCCTGATCTTCCGTCTAGCCGAGATGAAAGCAAGCCCAGTGATCAAACTTGCAGCAAAGAGAAGAGGATACAAAATCTCATTATGAGAATTGCGAAACATTGGAAGGAAGTTTAGATACAGATGGGAAAGGTAGTTACTTCCGCATTTTAGAGTCAAAATTATATTTTGTTTACTTATGATGTTGAATTAAACCAATTATTGTTTCTGCTAAAAACAATAAAACTATGAAATTGTATGAAAGATTTGCCTCATATACGCTGTACTGCTCAACACAGCTATACAAACTAAAGATTTGGCTAACTCAATTTGAGGATTTGAGAGACGCGAAAGTGCTAAATTATTTCAGACCTGAACAAGCAACACTTCCGTCGCCGATAATGACTCTATGTGCTAAACTGTAACCATTAAGAGAGGAAAGATTACATTTCCATTTACATAGCTGCAACAATAGAGATGACAGAGTGCAAACTATATCATTTGAAAGTTAATGCTTGGTCGTTCGTATAAAGACAACAATTGGTAAATTCATTTATCAAGTAACAATATAAAAAGGAACTGTAGTGCAAAGCAACAGCAGGAGCTCATTTCAATCACAAATTTATATTTTATTGTGCCTCTCAAAAATTTCTTCTCTTTTAGAATGAACACTGGTATTTTGCTCATTCTCTTCGCTGCATACGTCAGCGTTTGTTTTGCCAAACCCAGCATAAGCGAACTGATTCAACAAGCAATGAGTGAGATTAAGACCGTAAGATTACAAAAAGCACAAGAAATGTTTTGATTGAAGAAGTTGGCCTAAAGGCGCAAAATTCAGACAAGCTTGAACAAGGATGAGCTTCTTGCAAGCCACGAGACAATCCATGCACTTTCAAAAGAAATTGCTGAAGAGGTAAAACTCACTCCACAACGAGAAGCGGCCTTAAACGAAAGGCTTCAGGTAAGCTGAAGTTATCTTGCTTACAATTGGAAACAAAGGAAAAATGTTCTTATCAAGAACTTTTTAAGAGGATGGTCCACGTAGAGGAAGCTCACCTTAGCAAGAATGAGGCTGCCCCAGAGGAAATAAACCTGCAAGAAGGAATAGGAGAGCTGTTGTATCAAGGAGATATTGTGCTGACAAGGTACAGCACACTGATCAACCACACAATTATGAATGCATAATATGCTTAATTTATAGTGTTCAACTAGAAGAGATAGTAGAAGATATTGTTCTGTTAAAAGAAGGAATGGATGAACAGAGGCGAAAAAAACGTCAGGCTTACAAAGATGCAAGATATCCGCAGACTATTTGGTCCAACGGCTATGTCTACTTTTCCTTCCATAACAATGCAAGTAAGTGCGAAACCAGTGGGCACCTTAATCAACTTGTCATGGATGATCATCAGGTAGTAAGGTACGAGAACTGTTCAAAAAGGGAGCCATGGAATGGCAGAAGGATACCTGCCTTAACTTCTACGAGAGTCCTAACGGTGAGAAAACAGCAAAGTTAAGTGAACAATTTGAATAATCTCGTTAAGCCCCGGAACGCATTGAGCTCATGGTAGAATCTGGCTGTTGGTCATATGTGGGAAATATACACAGAGTGCAACCACTTTCCTTAGGCAAAGGATGCGAAACGGTAAAATGAAAGCTCAAAAAATCAGCTGGAAAGTTTTGACAGCAGTGGCTGATGTTATCTATTAGGGTGTTCAATGAGCTTTGAGACTAAATTCCTAAGTTAGTGCCTTTTCCGAATA